CAGATGGGATTAAGGCTTCTAATCAGTTAGATTTATCCTGGTTTAATCAGGTAACCACATACGTAATATTAAGTGTAATCACATGGGCCCGTAGAAGCACAGGAGAATGTAGGCAGATTAATCAAGCAGATGCTACAGAAGAAAAGGCAGAGACAAAGAAGATGAGAGGTCATATTCATAGCATGAGAAAGACTTCATCTGCCTTTGCTGTCTATGCAGGGGGAAATGGACCATAAACCAAGTAATGAGGGAAACCTCTAGAAGCTGCGAGTAATCTCACTAGTTGACAGCCAGAAGGAAATACAGACCTTAGTCCTACAATCACATGGAACTAAATTATACCGACAACCTGAAACAAGTCTAAACCCAGTTTTCCCTAAAGTCTCCAGGAATACAATGCTGCTGAAACCTCATTTCAGCCTTGTGATACTCTTATTACTGCTTGCCATCAAGTCAGTTTTGACTCAGTGTAGTTTCTCAGTGACAAGTGGGTTTGAACTGCTAACCTTGCAGTTAGCAGTCTAGTGCTTATCCTACAGGGCCCGAAAGACTCAGCAAAGGAGAAAACCAAGCCATCCTTCTGGCCTACAGAACTGTGATGTAATCAATTTGTACAATCTTAAACTGTTAAATTTGTGGTAATTTTTAAACAGCAACAGAAGACAATATATTTGACTGACTCTCCTTTTCTACTTCTGTTATCATAATCCTTATTTACCCATGATCCAAGTTAATGTTATTAAGAGTTCCCAACATAATATTCTTGAGTCTCTTGATTTACTAATATCACGTATCTCACGTTCAAAAAGAGTTATCTAAGACTAAGTCAAAACTCTTATAGAATTAAAGAGCCTTCAAATTGAATAGTAATTTGTTTTATCCTTCCTCTTACCACATTTTTTAAAGAGCTCTGGTAGCGTAGTGGTTATGAGTTGGGCTGCTAACCTCAAGGTCAGCAGTTTAAAACTACCAGCTGTTTCACAAAAGAAAGATGAGGCTTTCTGCTCCTGTAAAGATTTATAGTCCTGGTCACTATGAGTCAGAACCGACTCCACCACCACCACATTTATTACAATGCCAAATATATTGCAGGTTCTGTCTCTGCTTGGAATATCCCCCGGTGTTTTTGTTGGTGTGTTTAAGGTTTTTTTTTTTGGCCCCATTGAAATGTTATACCCTCCTCCTGTGACAGAATAAATCATTATCCCTTTTGCTTTTCCATAGCATTTTGCTTAAAATTTCATTATACTTAGCCATATATTTTTACCTTGTGTTATAATGATATATTTTCATATCCGGCCTGCTCTTTCATTAGGCTATATTTGAACGCAGAGACTATGTCATGTGTTTCTTTTGACACTTCTTTTTTCTCAAAATCTAACACAGTACTTACAATGCCTGTTGTGTTTGTTGATATCAATCTCTTATCTTTCCATTTTGACTCAAAAATTAAGAAAGTTTTAAAGTGTATATTGTTGTTGTTATTGTTAAGTGCCGTTGAGTCAATTCCAGTCCAAAGTGACCCAGTATAAAGTTTCTGAGGAGCAGCTGGTGAGCTTGAACCACTGACCTTGCAGTTCAAACTGAATTTGCAGTCCAGCACATTAACTCATAGTGCCACACAAGGACTCCAAAGTGCATATATTCCTTTTAATAATTCTATGATTTCAATAATTTCATATTTACCCATAAATTGCCCAAAAAAAACGTATTTACAAATGTTTCTTAGGTTAAGTAGCTATTAAAGATACAAGTATAGCAATGCATAGATTCCTCTGAAAGGACTGTATATAAAATTTAAAACTTCACCTAATTTGCTAGTGGACTCACTTTGATATAATAAACTATGCAATATCTATTAGGATAAATTAAATATTCTCATTTTAAGAGAACTTTGCAAACATAGTAACATAGGCATCCTTAATAAGATGATTCTATCTTTAGAAGATTCTTTTGAACATAAAGCACCTACACTTATTTTAGATGTATGACTCTCTTTTGAATCCTAAGCATTCAAATATTTAAAACTAGGGTTTTAGTCATATTTTTTCAATAAGCAACATCATGATAAATGGAGAAAATGTTGAAGTCATTAACAATTTCATTTTATTTTGATCCACAATCAACACCCATGGACACAGCAGTCATAAAATCAAAGGATGTATTGGTCAAATTTGCTGCAAAAGACCTCTTTATAGTGTTAAAAAGCAAAGCTGTCACCTTGAAGACTAAACTGCATTTGAACCAAGCCACAGTGTTTTCAATTGCCTCCTATGGACAATGAATGGGAAGACAGAGGTTAAATTGATGTATATGAATAATGGTGCTGGCAAACAATACTGAATAAACCATGGACTTCCAGAAGAAGGAATAAATATGTCTTGGAAGTAGTATAGCCTATGTGTCCCTTAGAAATGAGGATGCTGAGTGAGACGTCATCCTGTGGACTCTGGACATGTTATCAGGAGGGATCAATCCCTGAAATAGGACAATCGTACTTGGTAAGACAGTCAGTGAAAAAAGAGCAAGACCTTCAACAAGATGGATTAACACAGGGGTATAACAAAGGGTTCAAATGCATCAATGATTCTGAGAGTGGACCAGGAAGTGTTTGGTTCTGTTACTATGAACTGGAATTGATTCTACGGCATCTAACAACAACAGTAATATTTTTATATGTTTAAATAGGTAATAAACCACTTCACCCACATCTAACAAAATATCAAGAAAAAAACATTCTAAAAATATACTTAGTATTCGTTATGCTATCAACTTAAATATTTTTAGAAATTACTGTTAACATCTTTCCAAAGAGATTATCTTTTATAAGAAATAATCTCAATTATAACTGCAAATTATAGTTTGGTTCTAAATCTAAAAATAATTGTTCAAAATTTTGTCACTTTCAATAGACACATGACAAAGATGTTATTATCAAGTGCCTTATGGGTAATCTAGTCTAATGATCCCATCAAATGTTACAAAAAATATGGTGTAAGTTTTTTGTTCTCTATATGCTGAAATTTCTCAGTTTTTGTTTTAAATTGTATTGCCAGACTAATCCATCAATACATAAAAGGACTTCAAAAAGTTCACAGAAAAATGGAAAGAAGAGATACTAGAATTTTTTCATGAACGTTCTGAAGCCCTCTCATATGCCACCCCATTACCAATGTGTCCAAACCCATACCCTAAAATCTGATTGTTTATCTTCTATCATAATTTTACTTAAAAGCCTTCCCTGACATACCAAATTCCATGATTATATTTATACTACGTTTTCCAGTTTATAGATGTGCTTAAGAATTTAAAAAAAAAAAAAGGTTGCAAATGAATCAAATCATAAATTTATGTTTTTGCACTTCAAAGCAGCATTTTAAAGGGTAAGTCAACAGTGATGTTTACGAAAAATATTCACTGATTCAAAGAGAATCATTTTAACCACTGTATATTAGATTACAGAATAATACCAAATTTACGATAAAAAAGTGATAATGGTGTTTTATACAACTAAAGCTCATCAATCCATAATATACAAATTCTCTCAGTTCAACAATATGGTATCATTAACAGTACAACATACTTTTGAAACCTTGATAGAAGCAACAGGAAAATCAGAATATTTAGAATTACTTCTATCTTTGTTTTAAAAAAAAAAAAATCAATCAATGGAATTTTTCATTCCATTGTCATCTACCTAAAAATGATAACTTGAAGCAATTAAACTATTAATCCTATTTGTGATGTACAAATAAACATTTCAAAGAAAAAAATCTGGGACTATATGCATAGTGGTTACGAATTGGGCTGTGAACCGTAAGGTCCGCAGTTCGAAACTACCAGCTGCTCTGCGGGAGAAAGATGAGGCTTTCTGCTTCCGTAATGATTTACAGCCTCGGACCCTGTTCAGGGTCGATATGAGTCAGAACCGACTCGACGGAACTTAACAACACCACCAAAAAAAAAAACCAAAGAAGGCTATCAGGTTGATCTGACTTACAGCAACCAGATAGCACAGAATGGAACCTCTCCCTAGGGTTTCCAAGACTGTAAATCTTTCTGAGAGCACACAAGTCTCCTCTTTTTCCTGCAGAGCAGCTAGGTTTAAACTACCAATGTTGAGGTTAGCAGCCCAATGCTTAGCCCACTGAACTATCAGGGCGCCTCTGATAGTTAATGACTACAGTCATTATAAAAGTGGTGACTACAGTCATTATTAAAGTAGAATTGGCAAATTAAGTGGTATTTATACTAAACGTGTTAAGGAGCTCTGGTAGCGTAGTGGTTACGAATCGGCCTGCGAACCTCAAGATCAGCAGTTTGAAACTAGCAGCAGTTCCGCGGGAGAAAGATGAGGTTTCTGCTCCTGTAAAGCCTCGGAAACCCTGCGCAGGGTCACTGTGAGTCGGAACCGACTCCATGGTACTTAACAACAACAACAATACTAAACGTGTTACTATTATTTACTCAGGTAAAATAGTTATCTTCACATATTTGTTTCTTCATCTATTAATGTCATTCCCTTCTCCCAATTTTACATTTCCTTCCCTAATTTTCTTATGTATCCTGGACTTTGTAGTTAAATCCCATGTATCCTTTGATGTATCATGTATCATTCTCACATTCCCAATCCTATTTTAATCCTTCAACCTATCTTCTCCAGGCAACCAGCATTCTAAATCTTGATGGAGAGCCATCACACCAGTTGTATATTGTACTCAGGGATTTCATATTACATTAATAAACATGGAAAGTAGTAGCTATCTCTAACCACTTCCTAAACAACTAATTTGTAACGTAATGCTTTTCATAATAGAAATCAGTTCGTTTACTAAGATATTCTACTGAAAGGACTTACCAATTTCTAGTTGTTAAATAATAGTTACCTTTTTACCATGTATTAAAATAAATGTATCAAATGGTTAACACAACAAATGCCAGACCATTCTTTCTGTAAATAATTATACATATGTTAAGACAGCTGACAAAAGCTGCTTTACCTTCAGGAGCATCAGCATCACATCTCTTGGGCACAGAAATGGTTGAATTGCCTTTATGGTCACCATAAGTAGTACTGTTCTGGAAGATGACAATATAGTTGAAATGTACATATCACACTAAATGAATATATTTTGATAAAAAAGTAATCACTTTATACCCAGCAATTATCTTACACGGGAATCCCTTGCTAATGCAAATGATTAAGGTGTTAATGTGCATAACTGCTACACCTAAAGTATGGAGTTTCAAGTCCATCCAGAGGAACCTTGGAAGAATGTCCTGGTGATCTACTTCTGAAGAATCAGCTGTAGCAAACCCTATCGAACACAGTTCTACCCTGACATACAAAGAGTTGCAATGAGTCAGACTCAATTTGACAAAACTAGTGGTATTTCTTAAACAACATTTATCTAATATTCCAAAAAGTAAACTTACTGCAAATTTTGAAATAGAAAAATAATTATGGTAATTTCAACATTAGGGTTATTTGCAATAATTCTTTAGGTTCTCTGATGAACAACACAGCTTATTCTCAAAATGAGCAAATCCTATTTCTACTCCAAACATGGCTTCCAAAAAGGTGTTTGTTGTTGTTATGTGCCATGGAGCCAATTCCAACTCATAACAATCCTATACAGGGCTTCTGAGGCTGTAAATCTTTATGGGAGCAGAAAGCCTCATCTTTCTCCCGTGGAACTGCTGGTAGTTTCAAACTGATGACCCTGAGGTTAGCAGCCCGATTGGTAACCACTACGCTACCAGAGATCCTTTTGTTGTTGTTGTTGAGTGCCATCGAGTCGGGTCCGACCCATAGCGACCCTGTACAGGGTTTCCGAGGGTGTAAATCTTTACGGGAGCAGAAAGCCTCATCTTTCTCCCGCGGAGCGGCTGGTAGTTTCGAACCGCTGACCTTAAGGTTCGCAGCCCGATTCGTAACCACTACGCTACCAGAGCTCCTTTTAGGGGGCATATTATTAATATTTCTTAAAGTATTATTTTAGAGGACATAACATGAATTTTAGGAGTCCTAGTGTGGCATTGTAGGATAAGCACTGGACTTCTAACTGCAAGGTCAGTGGTTCAAAGTCACCAGAAATTCCTCAGAAACCCTACACAAGGTTGTGTAGTCAGTTGGCACTGACTAAACAGCACATTAACAGTTTGATGGTGGTGGTGGTTGTGTACCCTCAAGTTGGTTCTGACTTATAGCGACCCCATACACGTTTTCCGAGGCTGTTAAATCTTTACAGGAGCAGAAAGTCTCATCTTTTTCCCATGGAGCAGCTGATACATGCAAATTGTTGACCTTGCAGTTAGCAGATCAAAGCGTCACCCATAATGCTACCAAGGGTCCTTAACAACAAATATTGGTTTTAGTAAAGTGCTGAGATAAAGTTCAGTAGTTTTGTATTATGAGGTCTACTTAAAGAACTATGATAACAAAATTCAGTATATTATATGTATTTTGGAGTCCTGATGTGGTGCTGCGGGTTAATATGATGGAATGCAAGGTTAAGACGAACCTGAAGGTCAGAGGTTCAAGCTCATCAGCTGGCTCCTTAGAAATGCTATACGGGGTCACTGAGTCAGAACCAACTTGATGGCAGTTAACAACAAAAACAATATATGAATTTATATTGCTTGAGTTGACTTCAACTCATGGCGACCCAAAGTGTCTCAGTAGAAATATGCTCCATAAGGTTGTTGTTTTTTTTAGAAAAATAACACTTGTATTGTGACTTAGGTCAAAGTTTACAGAGCACAGAATTTTCAGTAGCTTAAGTTTTAGAAACAGCTAGTCATTTCTTGTGAGGTGGAATCAAACCTCCAATCTTTCAATAAATTGAATCATTTGAACTACCCAGAGATTCTGAAAAGAACTTGGTATAAAACAAATATGAATATGCTTTAAAACTGGAGTGAAAAACCAGTTTAAACACTATTAAACATAATCTGATGAGCTAATACTCTCATGTCATCCTATTAGCATACAATCTGATTTTAAATCTCATTATCTTTAAAATCTGCCACTTGTCTGTCAGTTTGTCATACTGAGGTGGCTTATGTGTTGCTGCAATCCTGGAAGCTATACCAACGGTAGGACAGGGAATTGTTTCATTCTGCTGTACATAGGGTCGCTATGAATTGCAACTCACTCAATAGCACCTAACAACATGAGCATCTTCAAAATATCAAAATAAGTTTAAAATTTTGTACTTACCTCTATTAAGTAATTTTGGCTTCCATACATAACGTACTGTGGAGCAAGACTATATATCATGTAGCTAGTGTGAAGGACAATAAGCAGAAGTATCATGCACAGAAATAAGAGTGCTTGGGGCCTTGTTCTACCTCTTCTGATTTTATATAACTGGAAAGCAAAGAGAAAAGTGATGACACATAAGTATTATGCTTTATTTCTAAGGCAGTAAGTCCAGCTGTATGTTAGCAGTAATAATTTACAAAGTTCAATCATTTTTCTTTCCAAATAAATGATAAGAGTTTGTAATCATTCCAGGTAATTATAAAGATGATAAGAACACACATTATTTTTTCTGCAAAGGATTTAGGCTATGTCTTATATTTCTTTTAAAAACATAGAAAAATATCTATATCCAAAGATACATTAAAACTGAAATCCTAGAAAACTATTCACATGGTCTATATCAAAACAAACTTTCTACACTTATTGTAAAATAACATCCAAGCCAAGAAAAACTGGGAACCTCCTCTGGTTTTACCTAAAGATTAGAAGAATGAGTTTTGTTAAGTGCTATCAAGTTAGTTCCGACTCAGTTATCCTGTATGTTGTTATTGTTGTTGTTGTTGTGTGCCATCGAGTCAGTACAGACCCATAGCGACCTTATGCATAGCAGAACGAAACACTGCCTGATACTGGGCCAACCTCACTATTGTTGCCATGCTTGAGTCCTGTATAGGGTTTCTAAATCTGTAAATCTTTGTGGGAGAAGAAACCCTCACCATTCTCATGTGAAACAACTGGTGGGCTCAAACAGTCAACCTTGAGGTTCTTAGTCCAGTGTTGATCCTACAGATCCACTGCACCCCCAGTACCTTTATAGCTGTATATAATACTACTGTTTCAGAATGGATTTGTTACATATTTTAAGTCTTTTCTGTGAAATACTTTTAATGACCTCATACTAAATCTGTTCTAAATCTATGTTACGATAATTTATGAAAACATTGACTACTGATATTTTTACAAAATATATGGAATTTAGGGGACTTTCTTTATTTCAGTGGCAAGGCATACATTCTAGTAACTTTGCCTAACTGCATATATGGGGAACTCACACCATGAATGGTATGATAATATGTTCACCTCAAACTCTACAGTTACCTGCTTTCCTCACAACTACTCATGGCCATGTAATACAAAGTTAAAAACTGAGAGGAAGAAGAAGTCATCTGGACATTTCTGAAGACTTTATTTGCTTTATTAATATGTTGTTGCTGTTAAGTCAAGTCGGTTCCAACTCAGAGACCCTGTATAGGGCTTCTGAGGAGCAGCTAGTGGGTTTGAATTACTGACCAGTGTTTTGCAGTCCAGTACTGATCCTACATCATCATACCACAAGTCCATTTTATTAATATAGCTTTGTTAATATAGGTGTTAATTCAGTATGGACTGCTCTACAATGTAAAGAAAACAAAAATCCTCACAATTAGACTAATAAATAAGGAGCTCTGGTAGCGTAGTGGTTACGAATCGGGCTGCGAACCTTAAGACCAGCAGTTTGAAACTACCAGCCGCTCTGCAGGAGAAAGATGAGGCGTTCTGCTCCCATAAAGATTTACAGCCTCAGAAACCCTGTCTAGGGTTGCTATGGGTTGGAACCGACTCGACGACACTTAACAACAATAACAGACTAATAAATAACATCATGATGAATGGAGTAAACATTGAAGTTGTCAGAGACATCATTTCACTTGGATCCACAATCAATGCTCATGGAAGCAATAAGTTTAAAAAATCAAAAGATGTATTTCATTAGGCAAATGTGCTGCAAAAGACCTCTTTAAAGTGCCTGACCCAAGCCATGGTATTTTTCAATCACCTCATATGCATTTGAAAGTTGGACAATGAATAAGGAAGACTGTAGAAGACATGGTGTATCTGAATCATGGTGTTGACTTTTGCTTTATTAATATAGGTGTTCTCCCTTCTTCCTATTTACCTTTATCCTTGAATAAAACATGGATAGGATAAATGCATCAGAAGTAGCCATTTTCATTCATGAGGGAGAAGTCAAAAGAATTACAGAGACATTGGACCTGACTTTCTTGAGCTTCTTAAACAATGTCACTATTTAATTGGGTTATATTTTATTCACACCTGAAAATCATCTCTACCTGGTAAGTTTCATTTGAAAATTCTGACTTATCTCAACATAGGTAAAAAGAAGCAAATGTTCTTTCTCAAATTATGTAGTCCCTCTCTTTTCATTATCTTCTGTTATGACAGAAATACCACATGTGGACGACTTAAATAAAATTTATTTTCTCACAGTTTAGGAGGCTCGCATTCCAAATTCAGAGTGCTAGTAGGGAAAGACTTTCTCGACTCTGTTGCGTCTAGAGGAAAGTCCTTGTCCCTTCAGTTTCCGCTTATTGGTTACTTGGAGATCTCCATGTGTATAGGCCATCTATCTATCCCATCTTTCCTATGCTGGCTTGTTAATCTCTTTTATATCTCAAAAGAGATTGACTCATGAAACACCCTACATGAATCCTGCCTCATTAACATAAAAACATAACCCATTTTCAAATAGCATAGAGGGTAGGTTTTACAATACATACATTTGGGGGACATAATTAAATCCATACCATACTCCTTAACTCCTTGTAGCAAAATTATCTTTTGGGCTTCAATACTTCATGCAATTGGAAAACAACTACTATAACTTACCTTCTATACCAGTTTTTTGACTTCTGTACTGCTGACATTTTAGGTCAGATAAGTCTTCGTTGTGAGGGGATGCCCTACACACTGTAGGATGTTTACCAGCATCCCTGGCTTCTACCTACTAAGATGCCAGTGTTGTTGTTGTTGTTATGTGCTGTGGAGTCGGTTCCGACTCATAGTGACCCTGTTTAGGGTTTCCGAGGCTGTATATCTTTACAGGAGCAGAAAGCCTCATCTTTCTCCCGCAGAACAGCTGATAGTTTCGAACTGCTGGCCTTGCAGTTTGCAACCCGATTAGTAACCACTACACTACAAGATGCCAGTAGCACCCCTCAATTGTATCAATTTTTTATGTTTCCAGACATTGCCAAATATTCCTTGGGAGGCAAAATCTACCGAGGTCAATAAACGTTGCTCTCCACAAAAAGTATTTTTTTGTTAATATGATGTGAAAAAGCTAATAAATCCGTAAGTTTTGGTATTAAGATACAACTTCCGTATTATAAATCTAAGATAATCTTCAATGAAAACTTTATGTATAAATAACAAGAAAAATTAAAGTAATATTGTAATATGTACTCACTCTAATCCAAAAGAACCATATGCCAATATTTCGAATTCCTGCCATCGAAGTAAAAATAAAGTACATAATAATAACTGTTATAAGAATATAATCAAGAGGAAAAACCTGAAAAAAAAATTATAATTAATACACAAACTTTAAGGGTTCTAAAGAATTATACTTAAAACTTCATTACTGATATTTGGCAAATGTTTAAAATACTGGACCTGATTTCTATTAGATATACTTTGATAATACCCTACACCTCCTCCTCAAAACAAAACTAACCCAAAAGAACCTATTAAATTATCAAATTATTGTAGTACCACTTTTCCAGAAAACTCTTGTAACTAATGAAATTTTAAATTATATTTATATGTGGAATAAAACTTCATAAAAATGAAAAACAAAAATAAGAAATGTCTGCCTAAAGTTTTATGATTCTCAAGTCAAATTATGCATCACAATTTGATTTGAGAATCATTAGCTCAGCAATATTAGTATAATATTCTTTAAAGAAACATGTCAATGTGAAAATTATACACAATAGTCAAATTAGCAATGGGCAAAAGCATATTCTACAAAAATGCATAATTGTCTTGTGAGCAAAATGATTTCATGTGCAATAGATGTGATAATGTTTGTGCTTATAAAATGATGATTTACTCACTGTCTGTAGTACAGGTAAAAGCATATTCAATGGATTACTCAGGTTAGTTCCAAATATCATAAAACCAGAATCTATTCCAGCTGAATGAAGAGCTTTATCCAAACTAAAATTAGAAATAAATATATGTAGAAAGAGTAAAGTTAAATATGTAACACTACCATATTTTTACTTAAATAAGAATATCATCATAACTTAAGGATGCAAATTCATCTGAATCAAACTAAAACCATGGACAATAACAATTAAACCTCACTTAAATATCTTACAGATATTGTTCAACTGATATAGAAAAAAGAAATACTACTACTCAATCTATATAGTCATTCATTAAATTAATGTTGAGTACACTTCAGTAAAATAGCTACTTAAGATGAATTGGCTACACTAATGGAATTCAGCGCTGGGAATGGATATTACAGGATTTATTTGCATGCAATAGAAAATGTATCTACTGTACTTACTTTGACAGGAAGAGAGAAATTACAAACAGCAATGCAACTAAGATGAAAAATATTCCCCAAATGATCTAAAAGCAAAAATATATTAATTAAAATAAAGCTCTAAAAGTTGATATTCATAAGCATAAAACCATTATGCTCAATATGAGTTGCTGACATAGGATAATGATAAACTGAAATGACCTAAGATATATTTTCATTTAGTATATAATCCCAGGAATCTACTATTTCAATTTTATAAGACTATTTAAATGAGAATATGTACACAAAAAAAGAAAAGTTGAAAAGCCTTCATTTATTTATAAGTAAAGAAATGAGATTACACCAAATATAAGGTTCATATGCAGTTATGTTGTTGTTGTTATGTGCCGTTGAGTCGTTTCCTACTCATAGCGACCATGTACAGGGTTTCAAAGGCTGTAAATCTTTACAGGAGCAGAACACCTCATCTTTCTCCCACGGAACAGCTGGTAGTTTCAAACTGCTGGCCTTAAGGTTTGCAGCCCGATTCGTAACCACTACGCTACCAGAGCTATACTCACATATAAACTTCAAAGTCAACTTTGCACAGAAAAGTACAGTTAGACTAACACATACAAAAACAAAACCCAGAAACTAATCAGGTTATATTATCCTGCTAGCTAAACACAGGAAATAAGGAACATTTTCATATAGAAGTAAAGATATACATTGTTGTTAAGTACTGTCAACTCAGTTCCAAATATTGTCAACTCATAGCAACCCTGTATAGGGTTTTCAAAGAGCAGTTGATGTGTTTGAACTGCTGACCTTGTGGTTAGCAGTCCAGTGCTGATCCTACAGCACCCCACCAGGAACCCAAGATATGTAGAGTGGTCAAATTATATAACAGTCCAATGAAGTTTATATAAGTGACAATCTTCGTAAAATAGAGATTTAACAGAATTGCAGACAATAGCAATTTATTTATTTATTTTTACATTGAGGAAGGGAGGAAAAATGGGAAAAATTAAAGGAACTGGGTCTCTGAGAAATAAAGTTTCAGAGTAAAAAGGGAGTGAAATCTCTGTTGCTAATAAAGTAGGCCCTGTTTTTCAACCTGATATCTTCTTCCCTACATTTCAGGGCCAACTGGGCTGGGAATCTTCAAGGTCAGTACAGGACAGGCCAGTAGGTACAGTCAAATATTTTTAACCTGACTGGAAAGATTAAGACATTCCCAAACAAAAACAGCAACAACAACAAAAGGAGTGATTTGTTGCAAACAAGGCTGTATTATAAGAAATAGAGTCCTTTTGGGATGAAATTAGATACTCAACACATGAAGAAATAAAGAGCATTAGTAAAACAAGGCAACTTAAGTAAAAAGTATAAATTAAGTAGTTTGTTTTTAACTTTATTCTCTGATATGATTTAAACAATAACTGAATAAAGAACTCATTATAATCTGTGATGTGCACACAGTGAAAAAGTAATTTGTAAGACAATATTCATTATAAAATAAGGAAGACGAAATGGCTATTTTATGGGCAGTTTTTGTATACTACTGAAATTATACTATTGAACTAGATTGTTCTAACAAAAATATACAGTTGAAATAAATGAAGCTTAATTACATATGAGAAATAGCTATTTAATACAAGCAAGGCAGTAGCAGAGAAATACAAGAGCAAAACACATAAGACCAAAATAAAAACAGAAGATGTAAAACTTGCCTTCTTAAATAATTATAGTAAAAATAAACTCAAGTCACAGATTATTGTTGTTAAGTGCCATCAAGTCAGTTCTAACTCATAGCGATCCTATATAGGGTTTCCAAAAAGCAGCTGGTGTGTTTGAACTGCCAACCTTGCAGTTAGCGGTCCAGTGCTTATTCTACAGTGTCATACCAGGACTCCAAAAGGAACAATTAGAAGAATGGATTTAAAAAACGATCCAACTATCTGTGGTCTATAAAAGACACACGTTAGATTCAAAGAAACACATAACTTGAAAGTGAAAAAGAAAAGATTTACCGTGCAAACAGTAACCAAAAGAGAAAGACCTGGGATGGCTATATTACTAATAGACAAAATAGACTTAAAAGCAAAAGTTACTACTAAAGCCAAAGGAGAACATTTTATAAATGTTAGAAGTTATTCCATCAAGAAGACATAACCATTTTAACTATGCAATTAACAACAGAGCACCAAAATTCATGAAGTAGAAGCTAACAGAATTAAAGGAGAAATAATTCAACAGTAATAGTTGGGGACTTCAATACCAGACTTTCAAACATGGATAGGACTACACAAGTAAACAGAATTTTTATTATTATTATTATTTTCTTAAATGTTTTATTGTGAATTATGTGATAGTTTACATGGGAGAACATTGGTTTTACATTCATTCTATC